AAACCTGAAAGTTGTCTGTGCCTTTGCTAAGGTAAAATTTCACTTGCATTCCATTGACAGAGAGTCTCAGAAATGAAGTCAACTAATTGTTTGGCTCTTTGTGGCATCTGTTGTCCCCATTAAATGTAATGTAGGAAATGAACATAGACATGTACATAACTCCAGGCTCTTGACTACATGATTTACTCCCATGTTTTCCCAGAAACTCTGATGAACTGCAAAAGGCAGATGACACCCACTGAAATTTATTAACAAGCCAGAAAGCAGCTGTTCTGTGAGCTGCAAACAAAAGCAAATGTTAAGCTGTTGAATAGCCCTTTTGTTTTTTTGTGGTTCACTACAAAAGGGCTTTATTGTAACCTTAGCTTTGGAAGTTTGCCTTCTTGTAGGTCGAAAGAGATACCCAAAGGACAGATGGAAAATTTGTATTTAGTAGTGATTACCATTGTGGAGCCTCCGGGTGACCATGTTTTTTCCTTCGTTTACAAGATGTTCCCAAAGGCTTTCTGTATCTTTGAAGTTACTCGTTCCCCATCTCCCAAGATTGGCTGTGGGGCATAAAGGAAGCAGCAATTTTTGGAGTACAAAATGCAGGAGTGATTGTGTAGAATTCAATCTGGTTAGTCAAGCACATTTTAGAAGGAGACATTTGTGTTCGCATTGCCTGTAAGGAACTTAGAGAAATGCTCTTTCTAATCTTTTTCTTCCTATCAGAATCTTTGAGACCTGGATTGTGAGCCTCATCTAATTATTTCTAACTCAGAATTGTCTCCCTTCTTTGAACACTTGCAACATATTATTCATATCACTCATTTTATTCCTATATATAGCCTTATAAAAATCATTATTCAAATCTCATCTCTCTGATGTGATTATAACGTCCTTGCTCCTCAGGATTGTATCTTAAACATCCTTATCACATCCATCATTTTGTTTCCTATCAAAGGTACATTGCATTTCTCGAATATTGTAGGCTACAGGAAATGTATGCAGATTGACTGAGCTACAAGTGTAATTTCACTATTTTGAACAATAGAGTACATTATTCAAACATATCCATAATATTTGTTCTTCATTGCAAATTTTCTAAATAGCCATTCCCTCTTGGTTAAAGTAAATACTGTAAGACACTAAATTTTAGAAGCAATATTTAAACCCCAAAGAATATTATAAGGAATGTTCAGATCAAGTAAAATATTTCAGATTTCTTCTGCTTGTATAATATGCTTTCTTATTTTTGTATTTACTGTTATATTGGCTTTGCCAAACTTGCTTGCTAGATCATGCTTGCCATAGGTTGTACTTTGGATTATTTCTTGCCCTGCTCCTGCACCTTTGAGTTTTCCACTTTGGCCTGGCCCTTACTTCCTGACCTGATTTTATCCCAGGAGTTATGGTCCATATCTGTATTCTGGCTTGGTCAACTCCTCCATCTGAACTCTAGCTCTAAGAGGCCCTGAGCACTGTTTACTCAGGAGTAAAGATAGAATAATGAAGGGTAAAGCCAAAAGTTACTATAAGGAATGTGCTAAGAAGCTAAGGACAATAAAATACCTAAAAATCAACACTAAAAGCAAGAACTATAATGATTGGGACAGATGGCAACAGAAAAAAAGAAACTAAACTATTCTCATTTTATATCTTCTGTATATTTCTCAACACTTTGGTCAATCTCATCCCCATTAAGTCCTTCCTTTATACTCCAGTCCACACTGTCTCCATTCTGCCATTTCTAAAGCCCCATAGTACTCTGTACCTTTATCATAAACTGCATTTACAGTAATTATTATGAACTGCATTTGCAATCAGTATACATTATGAATAATAATCACATATAGTTTTAAATTACCAGTCTGAAAACTCTCAGTATGGGGCAAGATTCCATATCCAAAAGCATTACAATTTAGGATATTGAAATAATCTGAAAATGTGATTTGTGAATCATATCTGTAACCTTTAAGACTTTTTAGGTCAGGAGATAGGCATATGTAGTGATTTAAAATGGGGGAAAAATGGATTCCTGACAATACAGACCTCTAATCTTGGCATGTTTTCCTGGCAAGATTTTAGACTAGATTGTTAAATAAACATTTTATGTGCACTAAGAAAAGAAAATGATAATCACCAGGAACCAGATGGTTTCTTCTAGTAATAAGTCATGCTAAAATAACCTCATTTTTTATCACATTACTAATTTTGTAGATAAGAAGCTGTCTTTTGTTTTAAGCAAACATTTGACAGTCTTTATCATGTTATTTATTTAGAATAGATAGGGATATGTGAGCTGAGTGAAAGTAAAGGTAAATAAGTTTAATATTTGATCCACTAATCCTATATGAAATACACCAGTGCCAGTTGACATCCTCTATCAATACCCCATGCTCTGTTCTTCGTCATTTCGATATAAACAACTTTTATCAAAAATTTGGAAGAAAGCATTCCTTAAAGAGTATGCAGATGGCATTAAAGAGAATAGCTAATATTGTACAAGGCACCCCAGAAGAGAGAGGATAAAAATGGGAGTTTGGGAGTTGGAAAGATTGAAGGCTTCAATCAACTATGCTGCTTGCTAGTTGTGTAACCTGGGGAAAATTACTTTTTTCTAATTTATGAAGATCAAATGATCATAGAGAAAATAATAAATAGCTTCTATCTTTATTGGTACTCATACAACCATTATTATTTCCATGAACTGGAAAGATAGGCTGAAACTGAAGATGGATTTAGCAGTTAAGATTAAAATCAATTGTACAAATGGAAGGCCTGAATATGCTACATCTTGTGTGAATAAAACTTGATGGCTTTAGTTGACTGAGCTCAATATGAGTTAGATATATGAATGAATGACAAACCATCTAATGTTATCTAGGTTTTTAATAAAATTGTAGTATTTTGATTAAGGGAGATAATAATGTCTCTGTAGTACTCAAGCCACAATTGGGAGATTATGTTCGAGGGGAACTTTGATTTTCCCAAAGGAGGATAAGCAGGATGGTGAAGTGTCTGGAATTCATGTTATAGGAGAAATGGCTTAAATAATTGAATATCATTCTGCTGGAGGAAAAAAGACTTATGAGATGGGGATTGAGTCGTAGACAATGGAGGGATATTTTTTCCTAAGTTGCTTATTATGGAGAATTTAAAACAGACACAAAATGCAGGAATATTAGTATAATGATCTCTGATATGCCCATCACCCAGCTGTAACACTTATCAATTTATGGACAATCTTGCTTTATTTATTATCCTCCTGACTGAATTATTTTGAAGGAGATCTCAGGATTCCAGATATCATATTATTTCATTGGTAAATATCTTGCTATGTATCTTCCAAAGTCAAGAATTTAAAAAGATAAGTACAATATCATTTTCATATCCCAAAATTAACAATAATTAATAATTTCTTTAATATCATTAATTAAATATCCAGTTAGCATTTGAATTTCACCATTTGCCTCACAATTGTTATTTCATAGTTTATTTAAATCAGGATATAAGTAAGTTAATATTTTAATTCCATTTAAATCAATAAGTTTGAACTTCTTTTTTTCATTTATAATTGTCCTATAGATTTTTCCAGAGTCTGAATCTATGGATTGAATTCTTGGGGTATCATTTTTTCTTTTACCATTGTATTTCCTATGAAAAAATAGGTGGATCTTGAGGCTTGGTCAGATTTATGTTTAACATTTTTGAAGATTAAACAGGTAGTGTTTATTTCTTCCACCAAATAGATTCCATATTTCTAGTCAGTACTCTTTTCTTTTCAAGGTTACCAGCCATTGGTTAACATTACCTATATTTTCTCAATAGGAGTTACAGAAACGTATTTTTTTTTTTTTTTTTGCAGTGCTGAAGATTGAACCCAGGGCCTTGTGAGGAGGCAAGCACTGTACCAACTGAGCTATATCTCCAGCCCTGAAAATGTTTCTAATTCTATCATTCCTTCATTGATTAGTTGGAATATTTCTAAAATAGGAAGTTCCCCTTATTAACTTTTTGGTTGTCAGAATTTTTTTTTTAAGTAAGTACATGTTGTTACCATCCAAAGGCTTTGATGTACGCTGGAAAATGATTAGGGTCAGAATGTGATAATGGAGAGTTTAAATTGCCTCTTCAAGTTAGGGAGAACCAATGGGGCTTGGGGCTGTAGCTCAGTGGTAGAGCACTTACCTAGCACACGTAAGGCACACACGGGGTTCAATAGTACCACATAAAAACAAATAAATAAATGAAACAAAGGTATTGTGTTCATCTACAACTACAAACAAACAAACAAACAAACAATGGGAGCTGGGCACACAGTGACACACACCTGTAATCCCAGTGGCTTCGGAGGCTGAGGCAGGAGGATCGCAAGTTTAAAGCCAACCTCAGCAACTTAGTGAGGCCCTAACTCTAAATAAAAGACCCTAACTGTAAATAAAATACAAAACAGGGCTGGGGATATGACTCAGTGGTTAAACACCCATGGATTCAATCCTCAGTATCAAAAGAGAAGAACAAAAACAAAACAAACAAAAAAGCCATTGGAGATAATAGTTATTTCCAAATAAAGTACTTTTTAAAAATTGAGAAATGAGAATTGAATATATTTGTCATTTACAACATGATGTTTTGGTTTTTTATAGTTATAAATGACAGTGTATTCTATTTTTGATATAATTATACAAGCATGGAATATATTTTATTCTAATTAGGATCCCATTCTTGTGGATGTATGCAATGGTGAGATTCCCAGTGGTTATATTCATATATGTACATAGGAAAATTATGTCAAATTCATTCCACTGTCTTTCCTATTCCTATCTCCCTCCCTTCCCTTCATTTTCCTTTGTCTAATCTACTGTCATCTACCTCATACATGATTTTGAAAAAAATATGTATACATTGTAGAGTCAGTTGAGCTAGCACATGCATTATTTCCCATTTTTTCTGTGATGAGAATACTTAAAATCTAATCTTTGCAATTTTCAAAATATGTTCCGATGTTATTTTTTTTCACATAAGGAAGCATTAATTTGAGGTTTAACATGAAATCATACAAATAAAATTGTATAAACACAAATCCACAATGAGTCATAACCCAGATAGCAAAGGACAAAGTAAAAACAAAGAAAACTAATTGGCGGCTATATACAGTTGGACACAATAGTTGTGTCTTGTACACTAGAAAGTCTTTTACAAAATAATCATCTTAGATCAACAGAAGACCAGTCTTCAGTGTCGTCCTGCAAGATGGGTTTCTTTAGCATCTCCTGTTTTCTCCAGTGTCCTCCTCTAGTATGGCTGGTAATTATTTTGGTGATTGCCACCCCCTTGAGAAGCCTTGCCATAAGTGCTCTGTTGACCACTGTAGTCTGCATATTCCTGTCCATACCCATAGTTCCCATAGTTATACCCAGTATAATCATATCCACCATAGCCTCTATAGTGCTGATCACCACCATAGGCACTATTGTAATTTCCATATCCTTGATCATAATAGTTATTAAATCCTTGGTTCCATTTTGGCCCTGACCTCGGCCACGACCCTTGGTACACCTCACCCACCAGCTGCAGCACATCTTCCTCCTTTTTGTTGTTGCTGTAGCTGCCTATACACCTCTTTGGGCTGTGCAACTTTGATTTCACACTTCCCAGAACCAATTTGATGTTATCTGCTTTCTAACAATTTCTTTACTGGCTCTTCATCTGTATATGTGATAAAACAAAATCCTCTTCTTTCGCTTGTTTTTGTATCCATGGGAAGTTCAATATTTTCAATCTCTTCAAAGGCTCCAAAATATTCTTTAATTTGTTCTTCAGAAGTATCTGGGCTCAATCCACCCACAAAAACCTTTTTAGGGGGTTCTTTCCGTTTCAAAGCTTTAGCCCTTTTGGGGTCTATCAATTTGCCATCCAGTTTGTGTTCTTTCAGTTCCAAAACCTTATCAACACTAGCAGCATCTTTAAAAAGCACAAATCCAAATCCTCTTGATCTTCCAGTGACTGGATCTGTTTTAATCCTACAGTCTACAACTTCCCCAAATTGAGACAAATATTCAGTCAGATCTTTCTTGCTCTAATCCCAGCTCAAGCCTCCAATAAACATTTTACCGTCATCCTGCTGATTCTTGCTCGCGATGATCTTGGATCCCTCTGCGAATTCTTCTATGTTGCTGTACTTGTTTGTGTCCTCGGTAGTGGCGGAGCTGTAGGCAGTGGGGGGCTGGCGCACAGTTTGGTGGCGGCAGCAGTGGGGGCGGAGTGTTGTGTTCCGATCTTATTAATGTTGTATAATTGATCTCTTGAATTTCTTTCTCCTAACTGAAATTTTGGTTAAAATGCTTAATTCATTCTTTTTGGCTGTAGAATACAGTGTGAACAGTAATTGTGAGAGTTGAATTAATCTACATTTAATTTGGAAAATAAAAAATACTGCTAACGACTAGAATGCCTCCAAGGTGGAATGGATTGCTTCATAGAATAGACAGCTGCCTGTCCTATGTACAAGAAGGGTTTAGATGATAGTCTTTCAGGGACATGGTGTAAGAGAATCTTATGCTGGGTAGAAATCTTAAAAACTCTTTCTCATCTCTGAATTTCCATGACACTAAAATGTTCCTGAGGACCCAGAATGGAGAAGGACATACAGGAACTCTTCCAAAGTGACAGGTATGTAAGGAATCCATTTTGAATATTTCTGGTGGAAATTTCTGATCCAAAAAGCATATGTTGAGGGCTGGTGTTGTGGCTCAGTGGTGGAGCTCTTAACTAACATGTGTGAGGCACTGGGTTTGATTCTCAGCACCACATACACATAAATAAAATAAAGGTCTATCAACAACTAAAAAACATTTTTAAAAAAGCATATGTTGTGAATTGTTTAAAGAGGATTTTCTTGTTATCCTGCTCAAACTGATTGCTTGTTGACACCTTGGAACTCTTGACCTTTGCCTATAGAGAAGATTTAATAATCCTTTTGTTAACAGCTCATAGTTTGGTCCTAATTGAGGGCTTTTCCTGACAAATCACAATTATACTATAATATTCACAGAGGCCACTATTCCTGTCAAAACCTTAGACTGCATATTTTATCACTGGAGTGGGATTCTTGCATGCAAGTGCCATCTTGAAAAATTTTAGCTAAAGATCATTAATAATTCTTTGTATTGTTATATTTTCTTTTGTGCTTTTTTTCATGACAGTAGTTCTAAGGAATGTTAGTAAGTGCCTCCTTAACCTCATTATACCAGAAACAAATCAGTGTGTGGTCAAAATAATTGAGAAAACTCTGTTATTCAGGACTCTCCAGAGAAACAGAGCTAGTAGGATATATAGACAGATAGATACATATATAAGAGGAGATATACTATGGGAATATATTATGCCTCACAAGATTATGGAGTCCAAGAAGTTCCACAATATGTGTCTGTGAGCTGGAGAATCAGGAAGACTGGTGATATAATTCAGTTCAGTACAAACGATCTGAGGAAAAGGGGAGCTAATGTCTAAATTCCAGTTCAAGCCAGAAAGACTAAAGTCCCAAGAGGCCTCAGGGTATAAGGTATAAGTCTCAGAGTAAGAAGGCCCAAGAATCAGAAATTCTTAATATCCAAGACTAGAAGAAGATAGATACCACAGCTCAAGAAGAGTGATGGGGAGTTTGTTTTTCCTCCATCTTTTATCCTGTCTGGGCACTTAACAAATTGGATATTATGCCTGCCCACATTGGTGAAGGTGAATGATCCATACTCAGTCTACTGACTTAGATGCTATTGACTCAGTCTACTAACTCGTCAGAAATACTATCACAGACATACCCAAGAATGTTGGATCAGCAATCTAGGAATTCCTTCATATAGTCAAGTTGACATATACATGAAACAGCATAAGCCTACTTCTTGTCAATTTGACTCATACACATCTTTTAAAATCATAATAGATTTCCAAGTAAACGCAATAACAAGGTCATAGTTTCACCTAACATGGTATAACTATCCTGCCTACAAACAAAAACATACTAATCCCTTTCTCAGAAGAGGAGGTAAAGTACTTGAGTGATGATTACTCTTTTTCTTTTTCTTTATTTTTATGTTTTTGTGGTGGTGGGAATTGAACCCAGGGCCTTGCACAGGCTAGGCAAGCACTCTACCACTGAGCTACAGTCCCAGCCCACTAATTACTCTTTTTCTGATATGCTGTAACTTAAGTACTCTAATGGAAATTTAACAAAAATTAAATATTGATACAATGTCAGGGTATCTTATGCTGCATAATAAGGGAATATGAAAGGAAATACAACAGATATTTGTTTGATATGTGTGTGCACACACAAAAGTATTAATAATAAAATAATTAAGGAACACTGATGACAATTATAGTTCTTATTTCTATAAACTGGTCATGTTTTAGTTGGCATTTTTATTACCTTCTTCCACTACCTATTCTATATTCCCTTTGCCTTCAGCAAGTATTTCATGTGTACTACTTCTTTACTTGGTGGGGTGAACTAAACCTTCATTCCTGAAAGGTCTGGACCATTTGTAATCAATCCCCTCTAGATTATTATAGTTTTCCATTGACTTTTTTTATTGGTTATTTTTAGTTATACATGATAGTAGAGACCATTTTGATAAAATTATACATGCTTGGAATATATCTTATTCTAATTTGGAATATATCTTATTCTAATTCAAATCTTGTGTGTGTACATGATGGTGGGAATCACTGTAGTGTATTTTTATATGTACATAGGAAAGATACGTCAGATTCTTTCCACTGTCTTTCCTATTTCTATCCCCTCCCTTCCCTTTATTACCCTTTGTATAATTTTATGAACAATTTTCCAGTTCCTCTTCCTTTATTTACCCTTTGTTTTTTGGAGATTGGCCTATTTCACTTAGCATGATAGTCTCCAGATCCATCCATTTACCAGCAAATGTCTTAAAGTCATTCTTCTTTATGGCTGAGTAATTTACCATTGTGTATATATACCACAGTTTCTTTATCCATTCATCCATTGATAGGCATCTAGGTTAGTTCCATAGCTTAGCTATTATGAATTGTACAGCTATAAATGTTGATGTGGCTGTGTCACTATAGCATGCTAATTTAAAACCCTTCGGATATATACTGAGGAGTGGGATAACTGGGTCAAATGGTGGTTCCATTCCTATTGTTTTGAAGAATCTCCGTACTGCTTTCTGGGATGGTTGCAATAATTTTCAGTCCCACCAGCAATGTATGAGTGTACCTTTTCCCCCACATTCTCGCCAACATATTGTTACTTGTATTCTTGATAATTGCCATTCTTACTGGATTGAGATGAAATCTCAGCATAGTTTTATTTTATATTTCTCTAATTTCTAGAGATGTTAAAGTTTTTTCATATATTTGTTGACTGTTCACATTTCTTCTTTTGAGAAGTGTCTGTTTAGTTCCTTTGCCCATTTATTGATTGGGTTATTTGTTTGTTTTTTTTTTTTTTTGGTGTTAAACTTTTTGAGTTCTTTGTATATCCTGGAAATGAACACCCTGAGGTGTAGGTGGCAAAGATTTTCTCCCATTCTCTAGGCTCTCTCTTCACATTATTGATTGTATTTTTTGCTGTGAAGAAGCTTTTTAGTTTGATGCCATCCTATTTATTGAATTTTGATTTTACTTCTTGTGCTTTAGTTATACCTGCTACCAGATTGCTGGCTGATCACTCTGGGGAAATAATACTATATATGGGACTCTATACTGGGCACTAGGTTGGGCACTCAGCAGTGGCCATAATAAGATCAACTTTCAACTTTGCTGAATGGAATTCAGTGTTGCTGAACACATACATTACCGCCATCCCTGATGACCACTTTGTTCATAAGCTCCTTGAGTAGTGACAGGAATGGCTAGGACAGAGGCTGACTGCTATCCACAGAACATGTCAGACTGTCCATTTGATCATTAAAATCTTTCTCTACTGAGGTCAACCTTTAATGTGCATTCATATGAGACACCAATATTCTCATATTTTTTTGCCCATTCAATAAGGTCTATCCACATACTTCTCCCCAAATTGCTTTGTCACCAGTCATGTTTCCCCCCGTGTTCTGACCATTCAGACAAACCATTTGCTACAGATATGAATTGGTATATAATCACATATATGACCATTTCTCCTTTCAGTCAAAGTATACAGCCAAATTTACTGCCTGAAGCTCCTCTCTCTGGGAAGATTTTCCTTCCCCACTGTTATTCAGGAATGTCTCAGAGAGGAGCTGAAATGCTATAGCCATCTACTTTCAGGTAGAGGCTGCATGTTGTACAGAATTCATCTCTAAACCAGGCCTAGTTTTCTCTTCCCTTGTCACTTGATTGTAGGTTACTTCCATGGCCATAGGTTTAGGTTAGGAGAGAGCAGGAAGTACAGCAGGAATGGGGACCATAGGCATTTATGCCACTTTTTCTTGTTACTTGTGCCTTCTGGGACTTCTCAGGCCTGATCCTGTACACACCATTTCCATTGATGATGGACTATTATTGTGCATAACCAACTTTATGGTTGGGTAGGTCAGATAGCCCTCAGTTCATGATGGGCAGCTCAGGTTGCATGGTAACTCAGTGGCCTTTTGCTAAGCATTCAGTTTCCAGTAAGATCCAGCAGCCAATGAAGAGCTGTCTCTCAAAAAGAGAGTATTTTTTTTTTTTTTTTTTTTTTTTTTGTGGATGATGACAGGACCTTGCTCTAAAATCCTAAGGATATCTGTAATTCATCTATAAGGCTTGTCAGAGGCTCCAAAAACATCCCTATGTGCCACTGATGCCTCAAGCACTATTGCATCTGTTAGATCATGTGGCCCAAGTTGTGCAGCAGCCGGACTTCATGTAGAATCTGTTCTTTTATGGGACCCACCTACACTACTAGCTTTTGGGGTCATTCTGTAAATGGGCTGGGATAACATACCCAAATGAGGAATATGTAGCCTCCAAAATCCACACAGGCCCATTAGGCATTATACCTCTTTCTTGGTTAAAGGCTAGAACAGATATAACTACTTCTCTTTCATGTTAGAAAGTATACCTTGACATGCCACATATCACCAGCTTTATAGAAACTTCACTGAATAAAAGGCCCCTAAATTT